TGAAATGATAAAGCAAAGATCTATGAACTCCTGGAAAGCAGGGTAAATCGGGATGGGACAAATCAACCAGGGACAAATCTACACCTTGAGGGAGAATGGTCTTGTGGTTAAGGCAATGGACTGGAACTCAGATCTGGATCCATTTTCTGCTCTGCCATAGCCTTGCTATGTGACTATAGGTAAATCATTTATTTAGTCTCTCTGTGCCTCCATTCTCCAGCTGTAAAATGGGGATAAGAGTACTCCCTGCCTCCCACCCTTTGTCTATTTAAACTGTACACTTCCTGGGGCAGTGGCTCTCCTACTAAATCTAGCACAAGGAGGCCACTAGACATGACCATAAATCATAAATAATGATAACTCCTGGCTGCCACACTGCAGTGAGAGTAATTTCTCTCCAAGGCTCTTTTTCTGCACAGCTGGGATCCAGCCCCCTGCTCTGAGCTCCATGTACTTCATGTTGCAGTAAAACAGTGGGGCGCTCAGAACTACGCAGCATCATGTATTGACAGAGGCCGCCTGCTCCTCCTCAGTCTGGGGTCAGCTGTGGCGCCAAGCAGATGTGGAGTGGAGCCACGTGTTGGAAAACCAGATAAACCTTGACAGATGTGCAGCCAGCAAAAAGAAAAGGGGGGGGGGGAGAGAGAGAAAACAGCTGGAAATAGCTAGGTCTTGGAAACGGTCAGAACGGATGCTTATTAACAATAAAAAGCATTGCAACTGCTGGAAGGCTTGGCAAAGCCTCTGGCTTTGCTGGGTTTTGGCTGTGGAGCTGCATCCAGAAAACTTTTTTCAAAGGTAGTCTCCCAGTTGGGGGTGGAGCTCTCCATGTTCAACACCTGCTCCAAGCAACCCTCGGTAATGCTCTCAGACACCACTAGGCTAGGTGTGGTAAAGAAGCGTCCACAGCCAGAAACACATGACCTTGGAAGGTGGAGTTCAGAGATCTCACTGCTACATCATTTCCAAGCCTTCTCACAAACTGACCCTGATGGTCCCCTCTTAGGGGGGATAGTTCCTCCATAGTGGGGGGCCTGGATGGCCTCTCTTTCTGACAGCAGGCTGTGGCTTCTGATATCTCGTGTTCCACATTGTTAATGGTAATGGTCCTGGGAGAACATCTTTCATCCACAGGACTTTCCAGATGGCACACAACAGTCACGTCACCCACCTCCCACCCCAGCCCCGTGGGATGGCAGCAGCTCATGTCGTTCTTGTTGTTAGTTGTATTACAGCAAAGCCAGGAACAGAATCTAGGTCGTCTTACCCCCACAGTCTTACCCAGTCTGGTGCCTATCTACTGGGCCACACTGACTCTGCTCAGTCCACGTTCTCTATCCAGCTCTCCTAGGGCCTTGGGAGGGATGAGAAGGGGAAATGGGGGGTTTCTGAGGGACACCCTCCAAAAACCAGTTCCAAAATCCAGTTTTAAAACCAGAGTGGGTATTCCCAATTAAGCCAGGATCCAGCTCAGGACAAGTGAGGCTGCAGTCCCATAGTCAGGAGCCCAAAGAAATCAAATCCCTTTGCACTCCTGGGCTCTCCACCATCAAAGACCAAGCTAACGAGCTTGCCGTGTAATAACAATACATTTTATTGGTAAGAGATGTCTGCACTATCTCTTCTCTTTCGGTAAAGCCTCTGCGCTCAGTTCAGATACACAACACAGCTCCACAGAGCAGCCCCATTCACCAGCATTACTTTCCCGTTTCTTAAGCGACTGCGACCACCACAAACAATAAATACTGTACAAGGGAGAGACCAAACATTACCATGCTAGGGATGGACGAACCGGCTCAAAGGAAAACCTGCCTTGATCCTTCCTTCCCTGCCCCACAAGCCTTTGAGTTTTGAAAATTCCAGTCGTATTTGGAAAGCAACTAAAGGCATCCTGGCTTCTATACCCCCTTCTTCTCTCCCGTTTCTGCTGGGCACAGGAGTGCCAAAAATGGCACAGGAAAGGCTGCTGTGGGCTTCCTCCAGGAGAGGGTGAGCACCTGGAATTTGCAGCCTGCAAGGTGCACAGCAGCATCTGAACCATGTGGTTGTATCTTGGCTCTGAGCTATTTGAGGTTCGCCCGTCCCTATCAAACACAAACAATAGAGAGAGAAGAAAGTCAGCACATTTGTCTGGCTCCTTACAATCCAGCTACGAACAGGGACCCAAACTACGCAGCATTCAACACCATTTCTGTTTAAAATGTAACTAACCCACCCAGCAATATACAACTGAACAATAGCGGTAACGACACATACATTTTAAATAAAGTGCTTTATTGCAAGTCAGAATGCAGGAGAATCTCCCTTTATGCAATTTGGTAGGAGTAAAAGAAATATATATATATATATATATATTATATATATAAACAATATAATTAGGGGAGGTGGAGACAAAGAACTCTAATAATTGTGGCTTGACAGAATCTGTTTATTGGGATATAAAAATAAACCTTTGCCCAAACATCTGCTCTTCCTAGCGCAGCTCAATAAAGCTTCCTGGGTAGGTAAGGTGCTTGTGTGAGGAGCAGCACTGCTTCTTGCCCCTCATATTTCCATTCATGTCTATGTTTCCTGAATTCCCCAACCAGGGAGGCAGAATAGCCACTCAGCATCGCACGAGGTTTCAACAGCAATTCCTTGCTGTGAAAGTTCCCACCAGCCCCCTGATAGGAACTGAATGTGTTACAGGAATTATAGCATCATTTCTGGGATTATGCAGGTTGATAAATTCAGACTAACCATGAGTAAGGATGTTATTAACATGCAACGGACCTTACTATAAGGAGGTCATTTACTCAGTGGCATCTTAGCCTAGGGAAGAAGCTGAATAACATCCTGAAGCCCTCATCTGAGAAGGGATGTATGCGAAGACCCCACCTAGTAGGGTGTGTACCTTTTTGAAAGGTAGCAAGGTTTAAAAGGACATTTTTGAAAGAAGCATATAGACTGTGTACTGACGCTAAAGAGATTCCTCCAATTACATTAGATCAAGAGTCCTCTGAAGTGGGCCAAGGGCATTTGATGTGCAAGAGGCAATAAGAGAGACTGGTGAATGACAAGGGATTACATGCTTCTCCTTCCACCAGTGATTGACAACCTCACCTGCCCATTCATTTGCTTCACATACAAATGTCTCCAAGTCTTCTTCCATGCTGGCCCTTACACATAGAATGCTCTCCCAGAACTGATCCATTGACCACTGCCCTCACTTCCTTACGACCCATTTCTGTCACAAAGTTGATAATAGACCAGCCAACAAGTGATGGTTTAAAGGACAGGGGGAATATAGCTGGCCCTTAGTTTATCTACCATTAATGTCTTTTTGTCTCTAGCTCTCGTCCCACCTTTTATGTGTCACTTGTCAGCGTAGACGGTAAGTTCTCTGGGGCAGGTCTGGATATACGTCTGCAGTGTGCTCATCACAATGGGGCTCCCGTGCTAATTGGGGTCTGTGGGTATCAAGGAACTATAATTATTAAACAATAATAATCCAATATGTGGCAGCTTGGCAAATCCACTGGTTTGTGTTTCACTAGTGACAGCGTCCCAGATGGTGACTGATGACCTGAACACAATGGTCCAGAAGTGAAAGGTTCAACAATTACAAGAAGGGTCAGAAAGAGAGAGAGAGCTGACAGACTGGGTGCTCCTTGACCCTGGAGAATGATACTGGGACACTGACAGAAACAATGCACAGTGATCAGCTATACAGACCTTCTGCCAAGGAAGGGTTTTATCCTGTCTGATCGATATTCTGCAGCAAAGTCTGATTAACCAGCTGTGCTTGTTGGAATCTTAGTGTAGCCATGATCCTATTCTTTGTCATATTCTCTCGATTTTCTCTTTATTTCCTCTGCCAGATAAATGTTGCTTTATTCAGGATGATCTGAACTGCTGCCTGTTAGGTTAAGCTGCTGGGTGCCCAGAAATAAAGACCCCGAGGAAGGCAGCAGAAGAGACATTTGAGTCTAGGCTCCTGGTCAAAACCATGGGAATGTGGGGGTCATCCCCAAAAGGTGCTGGAAGCTACCACAGGCCAACGTGGACCTGGGGAGAGCTGGAAAACCAGGGCAAGGCACCAAGCCACGTGAGTAGGCATTGTGGAGACACCTAAGATAACCACTAGGATGGCACCCATGCAATGGTGGTCAGTGAGTAGCAGCAGACTCTATGAGCTAAAGAAACAGTTATTATTCTGTGCATTTCCTCCTACTTTGTATCCATTTTGCATTAGTCAAATCCCAGTTCTCCCTGACCTGCAGCCAGCTGAATTTGGACAAGCCAGCTCTGCCTCCTTGTACTTCCATCTTGCTGTCTGATTGCCACCACTGGAAATGACACCGCTCTGGGTGTAGGACAAGTAATTACCCTGCACTCCAACAGGGTAGACTCTCTGTGACAGCTTTAGGGTCAGGAAAACAGAGTTGCTTCAATTCTCGGCAGTGGGGGTATGATGGATGGAGAAAACAAGGTAGTGAGCATTTGGAGGTCTTTCCTCCCGAACTACTTGGGTCTGATTTGGGGATTAAATCACTTGACACTGTTCCTTTGTCATAGGAGATGAACATCTCACTTTGTCCCTGATAGATTCCAGAGTGGTAGCCGTGCTAGTCTGTATCAGCAAAAAGAACAAGGAGTCCTTGTGGCACCTTAGAGCCTAACAAATTCATTTGAGCATAAGCTTTCGTGGGCAAAAACCCACTTCATCGGATGCATGCAGTGGAAAATACAGTAGGAAGATATATATACACAGAGAACATGAAAAAAATGGGTGTCGCTATACCAATTGTAACGAGAGTAATCAATTAAGCAGGAGAAAAAAAACGTTTGTAGTGATAATCAGGATGATCTTGCAATAATCAGGATCAGGATGGAAATGGGCCATCCTGATTATCACTACAAGTTTTTTTTTCTCCTGCTGATAATAGCCCACCTTAATTGATTACTCTCGTTATAGTTAGTATGGCAACACCCATTTTTTCATGTTCTGTGTATATATATCTTCCTACTATATTTTCCACTGCATGCATCCGATGAAGTGGGCTGTAGCCCACAAAAGCTTATGCTCAAATAAATTTGTTATTCTCTAAGGTGCCACAAGTACTCCTGGTTTGTTTGTCCCTGATGTTACCTTGTACAATTTGTGTCAGTGTATTTTTTATATAGTTTTAAGGAGGTGGGTGGCACAGTTCTTGGGACCTACCAGCATGTGGTTCACCCCACTAGACTCACTCCTACAGTAGATCCTGGGCAGGAATGGATTGAAACAGGACTCACAAGCCCCAGGGCTCATGGACAGAGCAGTGAGCCTGAAGCAGAGGGACAGACCTGCTGGTTCCCTGATGAGGTGGGGCTGGGCTGCCTCATTTCAGGGGGTTGGGCAGAAGATACCGTTTGGGAAGGAAGTGACATTTCTGCCCCATAGTGGTGAGTGGTTAATTCCCATCACCTATTTGGACCCCACACCCGTCGTAAGATGCTGGGTCTGGGGCCCTCCCTAGGAATGACATTTTCCATTTCCCTAGGTGGCCATTAGATGTCGCTATTGCCACACTGTGATCCAGCACACCATGCACTTGTCAGTCAGCAGTGGACAAAGCACAAGGGCCTTAAGGGGATGAGTCATACCTCAGCTCCCTCAAATAATCCACAGGAACTGGCCCCAGGATGGGCTTCAGCCACAAGAGAACATCCCCAGCAGCAGACAGGTCCATGAGAGACTTGTGGGCCCTGGTCGGGGAGTTCTTAATCGAGGTGACAGGAGGATGAAGCATGCACCTTTGGCTAGGTCCTGTGTTGCTTCTCACCCCAGTAGGATGGGAGCCTTGGATTGGAGTCAATGACCATACCCCAAGAGCCTGGAAATGAAGACATGCTGAGGGCAAGGGTGGGGAGTGACTATTCAGGACACCAGCGCCTCCCACTCAGCAGCTGCTGCTCTTCCAGACACTCTCCACTCCCTATTGCTACTAGACAAGAGGGATAAATGGGAGATGGCTGGGCAGGCAGGAATGCAGGGGACTGGACTAGTAGAATACTGGGGACAGTGGAGAGAGAGGAAGAGGGGACCTGCCTTTGAAGGTGCCCAGAGACAAACAGAGCAGACGCCAATCTGCTCTTTCTAACCGGATGCCAAGCTGCAGGGAGTGGCCTAATCCATCACACTCACTCTCCCCTAGTGGTGGCGGGGGGCACAATGGAGATGCATTAGCTATGGCCACAGCCTCTCAAAGGGCAAATCCCAGCAATGGTGCAAGCATCCACATGCGGGAGTCTAGCTCCCGTCCCCCCGTGGTCTTACAGTGTCTAAACCACTGGCCAGTCCCAGGGGAAAAAACCCTGGTCACAGCTGGTCACCCTGGCAGAGTCTGGGATTGCAGAGAGATTCCTCTGAGTTGGGTGCTTTCTGCACATCGTTGTGAGGACACAAACAGCAGGGCTGCCTCCCTCACTCTGCAAAGCCAGGGAAAGGCTGTGGGAAGAGAGTGGGTGGGAACTGCTGATCTATCTTATGAAAGGACACTCCTCAACACTGCAACACTGGCCTGCCAGGGAGAGCCAGGTGTACATATGGGCTGCTGATGTGACTTCTACCAATCCCCCCATCCCATTCCCTTTGAAGTGAGGACAGGGTGTTAAACACAGATATTGGATCATTTCCTTTTCCTTCCCCTCTGGGTGGAGATCAGATCTTGTTTGTCCCTATTTGCCCCTGGCCCTGGCAGCAGGGGTGCCTTATTATTCTTAATAACTCTACAAAGAGGGCATGTTTTCGCATCACTACCCCATCCCCCAGCCACAAGAGCCCAGGGAGCACCATGTGGGTCTTTCCCAGTCTCTTTCTTTCCAAGTCTGAAATGTAAGATCCAGGGGAGACCCCACCCCATACTCATCACTAGGAGCACTCTCCTGGGAGGATCCATCCCCAGGTTTTAGAGGAGACCCAGTACCTGCTGAGGCAGGCGTTTATACAGTTGCCTGGTTGGATGTCTCTGACAAAGCTGCTAACTCTTTGCCTTAACAGCAAGTCTTGGTGGTGTATTAAACTCCACCAGCACAGCTGCAACATGAAGCAAATAGAAGCCAAGAACGTTTCACCATAAGCCCCTGAGCTCCTTGTGAGATTGCAATTAACACTTCATAGAAAAGTAACAGGAGCTGCACCCTTTCCCTTTATACACCCCCACCCTCAGAGGCCGTTGCCTTCCATTGCCTCTAGCTGTCACCCGCATGGATCCTGTGCTATCCACAGAGAAGTAGCTGGGGTGAGAACAGCACCCCTGGGGCCAATCATGCAGCAAGGATTACCTGGGCCCCTTGGAAACTGGAAAGGAACTGGGATGCCTCTGTGAAAAGACAGATTTAAAACCAATCCCTGTGGTTGGCACCGACAGGGAACTTGCGTGTAGGGCCAAGGGCTCAGCCTCTCCCCCGGACTGCTTGTTTCCAAGGGAGTGACAAGCAGGGGACGACTCCAGAGCCTCTGTGGCCTGCGTGCCCTCATTGCGGTGGAGAGAGAGACAGGCCCCCTGGTGCTCCTGGGGTGTTACGTGGTGGACCTGCCACATCCTGCTCCCCCATCATTCGGCCGAGCTCTGCTAGTACTCCTTGGCCTCCTGCAGCTGGGAGAGGTACTCCTCCTCAGTGGGGTTATCAGCGCACTGCTGCCCATTGTTGGGGGGCCGAACAGCATGGTACCGGCTCCAGTCCCCCTTGCACAGAATCCAAGGCAGCATGTCCACCTTGTAGTGCAGCTCCGGGGAGAACTCCGTGCTGATGAGGTTGGGGGCACCGGCCCCCTTGCCTCGGGTGATGAGCTTTGTGTGCTCATCGTAGCAGCAGTGCTGGGCGGCCAGCGTGGTGCTGTCCAAGGAGAGCATGGACCGCAGGCAGAAGCGGGCTGTAGGCTTGTAGATGTCCAGCCGCTCCTTGGGCCCGCTGGCATCCCGCCAGCGGAAGTTCTTGCCCTGGCGCTCGTCCCGCAGATTTACAGCACTGTAAACAGCCTCCAATGGGTAGGAGCAGGGGCAGCTGGGCAAATCCGTCAGCACCTTGCTCAGATACTTGGTGAGGAAGTCGCTCTTGCAGTTCAGCCATTTCTCACAGCTGTCCACATCTGGAGGAGAGAAACAAGGGCAGAGGGGAGGGGGGAGAGCATGAGCAACCTCCGGACCCCACCCAGTGGACACCTCTCTGAGGTCCAGCGACAGTCCTGGGAATGGAGTTATACCACAACAGCTGGACTAACAATCACCATAGCCTCCATGGAGCTGGTACCAGGGGAGGAGATTGCCAGAGACAACAGCCCCTGTGGCTTGAGGGCAACAGCTGATCAAGAGATGGGGGTCAGAAAAGAATCTCTCTCCATGGGATAGTGTTGCACAGCAAGGTGCTTAATGAGGGCTCCACACAATCTCTAAGCATCCAGCACCAGCCACTGTTGGAGAGAGGCTACCAGAGCGGCTGTGCCATCGGTCTGTTTCAGGAGGGCACATGGCAGAGTGAAATCACCAACAGGAACATGATGCAGTCATGGGTCGTGTCCATACCACTACAGCCAGTGCTGATGGGACCTTACCCATGCCTAAAATCTGTGCTAAAGCGTCACACTGCCTCAACGTTCAACGTGGCTCAGGGACTTGGGTTAGGTTCTGTCTACACTGCATAATGGAACCAGACTGTAACCAGGTTGTGAGACCATTGTGCTGTAACTGGGCTTCCCAACGTGAGTGTAGCTGTAGCATGGACAAGGGCCATAGACTCATATGACTGTGAAAACACCTAGGTGCGTGGGGCACCAAATCTCTCTCTTGCTTCAGGGTGGGACTTCCACTGGGGCATTTATACCCTTCCAATTATGAAGCCACCCTTAAGTGGAATGCCTAGCCCATGCCAGCACCCTCTGTCAGAACATGGTGCCTGGCACATGCTAATGCCTAGGTCCCTACATGGAGAGGGATGACCGACATTTCATGCCTGTGTGGATATTTCACTGAAGTCCACCAGAACCTGGCCCCCTTGGCAGAACACTCCCATCCAGGTAGCACCATCTCCTCCTTGGGGTGCTGCACCACAAAATCCCTTAGGAGCTCCCAGGGCCCTATTGTACAGAGGAGAAACGTGCTAACCTGAGTTGAACATCTCTGTGGTGTTCTCACCCTCAAATGGCGTCTCATCAGTGGTGAAGACCATCTCCCCATCTGCTCCTTTGGAGATAAAACATACAAGCAGAGGTAATGAATCCCTTTCCAGGGATAGGCCAGAGGTCTGGCTGGGGATGGGCACCAGACCCTTGTATTTCCTCCTGCCCCCTCCCCACCTTCATGGAGACCTACCCCTATGCACAGAAGACCAACGGGATGGTACTGCAAGGAGGATAACACTAAGGGAGTGTAAGATCACTGGTTGCGATGGATCCTGATGGTTGAAGCCAGCTCTCAATAAACTTCCAGTGAGGATTTCAGGCTTCATATGTACCAGAGTTTTGATGTTAGGCAGCAGATCTATGATCCATGGGCTACTTACAGCTGATTATGGAATGACAAGCCACACCTTCTCTTCATGATGGAAAGAGCCAGCCATTTTTACTGGCCCAGATCAAAAAATTAAAAACTATTAACCCTTCAAGCACTAGCCAGTATCCAAACAGAGGAAAAGAAAGCTGAGTGTTTTAAGTGTTTAGGAGGCAGGCCAAGGACCACAGAGGGATTTGGCCTATGGGTTTATTTTCTGGAGTGAGTCCCACTTAGATCCCTTCATCATGTTAGAAAGAGATAAAGTTCTCCCTGCCCTGTGGAGATGGAAAATTCCTCAAGTGACCCTCTTGCCCCCAGCTGGGAATTCATCCCTCCCGCCCTAGCAGAAACAGGATCTTGCTGTGGGCAGGGCCCACTGGGTGGATGAGTTTGAGAAAGGGCCCCCTAAGGTGTTAGGGGAGGCAGAAAAGTGGCTCTGTCTAGAGCATGAGGAGTACAATAGGCTCACCAGGGCAGCGATGCAGGTCACAGGTTCTCGACTCGGTGGCTGTGCAGGCGTAGCCACAGGACCGGGTTCTCTTCTGGTTCCCGCTACCACAGGTCACACTGCAGGGGGACCAAGAGCTCCACTCCTCTTCATCTTCATAGTCTGGGGATGGCAAGAGAAGGACAAAGCATGAAAGTCCTTGTGCAAAGCCCAGATGGGAATGAAGCCTGGACTTCCCTGCTGGCTTCCCTCTGCCTACATTACCCTGCTCTTACCTCCCCGTCCTGCCCTCCTGAGCTATCTCCAAAGGGGAGCTGGCTAGAGCTCAGAGAGCACTGATCAGATTCATAGATTTTTAAAGTTGAAGTCATCTAGTTTGATCTCCTGTATATCAGCAGCCATAGAACTTCACCCAGTTATCCCTGCATTGAGCCCAATAAGAAACGTAAGAACGGCCATACTGGGTCAGACCAAAGATCCATTTACCCTACTATCCTGTCTTCCGACGGTGGCCAATGCCAGGTGCCCCAGAGGGAATGACTAGAACTGGTAATCATTAAGTGATCCATCCCCATTGCCCATTCCCAGCTTCTGGCAAACAGAAGCTAGGGACACCATCCCTGCGCATCCTGGCTAATAGCCATTGATGGATCTATCCTCCATGAATTTATCTAGGTTTTTTTTTAACTCTGGTATAATCTTGGTTTTGGCCAAGCACAATAGTTTGTGCTTGGCCAAAGCATATCTTTCAAAGAGGTATCCAGTCTTGATCTCAAGATTCCAAGAAATGGAGAATCCATCAATTCTCTGGGTAGTTTGTTCCATGGGTAATCACCCTCACTGTTAAAAATGTGTGCCTTGTTTCTACATGGAATTTATTTAGTTTCAACTTCCAGTCATCGGTTCATGTGATGTCTTTCTCTGCTAGACTGAAGACCTCTTAAGGACCTGGTATTTCCTCCTTGTGAAGAGACTTCTACCCTGTAATCAAGTCACTTCAATATTCTTTTTGATGAGCTAACGTGATCAAGCTCTTTAATCACTCACTATAAAGCATTTTCTGCAGTCCTCAAATCACTTTTATGACACTTTTCTGCACCCTCTCCAATTTATCAATATCCTTTTCAAAAATCTGGACACCAGAACAGGATGCAGTATTCCAGTTCTGGTCTCACCAATGCTGTACACAGAAGTAAAATCACCGTCCCACTCCTACATACTACTGCTCTGTTTATACAGTCCAGGGTCTCATTAGTCCTTTTCACCACAGCATGACACTGGGAGCTCACGGGAAGTTGCCTGCCCACTATGACCCATAAATCCACTTCAGAGTCAATTCTTTCCAGGATACAGTCCCCCATTCTGTAGGTACGCCCTGCATTCCTTGAGCCTAGATGTATGACTTTGCACTTGGCTGTATTAAAAGGCATTTTGTTTGAATGGGCCCAGCCTACCAGGCGATCCAGATGGCTCTGTGTGACTGCCAAGTCCTCATCATTATTTACCCTCTGCCAAGCTTTGTGTCATCGGCAAAGTATATCAGCAGTGATTTTATATTTGTTTCCAGACCATTGATGAAAATGTTGAATAGTGCGTAGAACTGATCCCTGCAGAACCACTGGAAACACTTCCATTCAGTGATGATTTCCCATTGGCCCAATGTGAGAGGGCGAGAGCACATGCATACGGTAAGTACCTTAAGGAACTGCTGACAGCACAGCCGCGAGCCCTAGAGAGGCTGGAGGTGGGCACATCCAATTCCTCTCAGTGCCCCACTCTGGCCAGCTCTGGGAACCACATTGGCTAGTTCTGGAGGGAGCTGCATCCAGTCCCCACCACTGTAACACGGGGAGTGGGGGAGAAGTGGAAACACCAGGGGATCTGAACCATCCCTGAAGTGCCCCCTTCTGCCCCTTTTCTAATTGCTCAGAGTTTTTCATGGATGCCCCTCCTGACAAACCCGAAAGTCCAGGCACTCTGCCAGGTCAGGGCAGCAGCAGGTGGCCGCACCTGCCCTCGTTGGCACCCTTCTCAGGATGTGCTTCCTGGGAACAGAATGCAGGCGTCCCGACTCCCAGTCTTAGCCACTAGACCAGTGGTTCTCAGACTTTTGTACTGGTGACCCCTTTCTCTTAGCAAGCCTGAGTGCGACCCCCCCTTATATTTAACACCATTATAAATGCTGGATGCAAAGTAGGGTTTGGGGTGGAGGCTGACAGCTCACGATCCCCCATGTAATAACCTTGCAACCTCCTCAGAAGTCCCGACCTCCAGTTTGAGAACCTCTGCACTTGACCATTCTCCTTCCCAGAGCCAGGAACAGAACCAGAGCCCTAATTCCCACCTTGGCACGCTCTCTCTCAGAGCTAAGAGCAGAACCCTGGAGTCATGGCGCCCAGTCTCCTTGCGCTAACCACTACACCAGGGCTCAAATTCATTCAGTGGGGAGGGATGAATTCCATGCTTATTGATGGTCCATGGGCTGGATATACATTTAGGACTGCACAGTCCTCTATCCACAACCACCTCCCACTGATGGCAGTGGAGGTTTGCACAGGATCAAGGTTAGAATACAGCCTTGCTGTAGTAACTCAACTTTTAGGTCATTTATTATTTGTTCAGTACCTTAATGCCACATTCAGTCTCGCTCACTTCACTCTCCCCCTCTGCCCCATTTTATCTGCCAGAGCCATGAGCCATAAGATAGTTAATGCTGACATTGAAAGATCATAGAGTTACAGCCGTTAAGTCCAGAAGGGGCCATTATCATCTAGTTTGACCTGCATAACACAGGCCAGAGAACTTCACCCCCTCATTTCTGCCTGGAGCCCATAACTGCTGTTTGATCTACAGCATATCTTCTGGAAAGGCAGCCAGTCTTCATTTATAGCCTTCAAATGCGGAGAACCTGCCACATCCCTAGGTAAGTTGTTCCAATGGCTAATTACCCGCACGGTTAAAAATCTGTATCTTATTTCTAGTCTGAATGTATGTACTCATTAGGCTTTAGCGTTAGCAATCCAATCAGCTGGGAATTCAATTCACACCTCTGAGTTATTTATCTAGGCTGTCTACAGACTCAGGCAGACTTCACTGTTTTGGTTCCATTCGGGGCACATTTGGAAAGTTTCCTTCACAGCCATAGGGACTAGAAACTTCTTTTTTTTTTTACACACAAAAGCTGAGATTTATGCAAATCCATCAAGCTGCCATGTGTCTGACATCCCTGAACTAGAACAGGCTGCCCTGTGGATGCCCCCAATGCCTTTAACAGCAATCCAGCCCCTAGTGGGCAGGGAGGTGGCCACTGCAGAATTTCGGGGGGCATCTGCTGAGGGGCAGGGGATAACTCACCATAATTATATTTTTCCTTGAAGATCCAGTTCTTCTGACTCGGCCACCTCTGGTCCCAGTCGCCTCCCACTCCACTCAGCACTGTCTCCTCCTCTTCCTCATACTCTGCTGTATAATCTTCCTCCTCCTCCCCTCTGTCCAGGCTGTCATCCTCGTCCTCCTCCTCTTCCTCAGTGGGATCCGTGTACTCCCAGAAGAGGGGCCAGAAAAGGTCCTTGTGCGACAACCACTCGGAGGAGGTCAGGGACCAGTCATTGCTGGTCTCCTTCAGCAAATCCATCTCTATCTCAGCCTGGGGATCATCCACCACCTCAATGGTTACCTGGGAAGCCAGACACAAGGCAGGGCAATAAGGGAGGTGCCAGCACTGAAGCCAGGGCTTCTGGCTGACTCAGCTGCCGGGGACTCCCTTAACGGGCAACAAAGGATTTTCCTGTTGGTCCAATAGCTCCCCACTCAGGATCTAGACATTCCAACTAGTTTCCCTCTTTGGCCGGGTTGTGCTATGCTGCAGGACACAGTGCCAGGCCCTGCTAGAATCCTCCCACGGCTGATGGCTCCAGTCTCTTTGTCCAGGCTTTAATGCAGGGATCTCAAACTCAAATCACCACGAGGTCCACATGCGGACTAGTACATTGGCCCGAGGGCCACATCACTGACACCTTTTCATATAAAAATGCAAAAGGCCCCCGCTCTGCCCCTGGCCCCGCCCCCACTCCACCCTTTCCATGAGGCCCCACCCCTACCCTGCCTCTTCCCACCCCTTCCCCGCCCCCATTCCAACCCCTTCCCCAAATCCCCACCCCAGCCCTGCCTCCTCCCCTGAGCGTGCGGCTCCCCGCTCCTCCCACCTCCCTCCTGGAAAGCGCCACACGCCACCAAACAGCTGTTTGGTGGCGGGAAGCACCTGGAGGTAGGCAGAGGAGTGGGGACGTGGTATGCTGGGGGGGGCAGCGGGTGAGGGGAGCTTGGCAGCTGCAGGAAATAACTCCGGGGGGGCGGGGAGCTTGGCGGGCTGCAGCAAATAACTCCGCGGGCCACCTGTTTGAAACCCCTGCTTTAATGTGTCATTGAAAAAACCTGACATCCCAGAGTCTGGAGGCAGCGAGAGGCACATTGCATAAAACAACAACAACCCAGAAGACCTGGGGAGATTCAGGTTTGGTAAACTGTTTGTGAAGCACGCTGAGGTGCCCGAGACAGGCAAGTGGTCGGTCAAGCAACATAATCCTCCAGGAATAGAAACAGCCCCGCACACCGAGAGAGGAGGCAGTTTAGTAATGGGATGGGTGCTACAAAGTAAGATGTCCCTGGGGGTTAGCTGGGCCCTTGCTCTGGGAATGGAAAGCAGCAGGACCAGCATTGAGGTGATCGCGTGGGCTGAAACTCCAGCCACACTCCTAGAGAGGCCAAGATTATTTTCTGGCTTGAATCACTAGAGCAGTGAGTTTGGTGGATCTCAGCCTAATTGCAAGCAGACCTTCCTCCACAGTACAAAACTCAGCCTGGCACAGCTGGTAGGAGGGACCCAGGACTGGAATAGCAGGTGTTGCTGCAAGAAAGGATTGAGGTACATTGGCAGAGGTGTGTGTGGGTAGGCCAGGGCTAGACTAGCGGGGGGTGTTGCAGTTCAGTCAGGAGACATGTTTTGGGGTTGGCTAGCCCAGCCAGGCAGGGTTGGGGAAAATCTCTCCTGACTGCAGAGGGCCAGTGCATAGGCTAGAACTCTTAGAAATTCAGTGCTCGTATCCCCTTAGGAAACTGTCCATGAACCCATCCTTGCTCTTTAAAGGGAGGAGTTCTAGAAAGAAGCGAGAGGGTCCAGGAGTACAGAGAATCCTGACCGAGCCGATCTGGTTATACAGCATTCATTCCCTTGTGCAAGGAATTTATATGCCAGCATCTCCTGTCCTAAATGGGTGTGGCTTATATGTGCCTGAGGATTATTTGCCAAAATATATGGTATCAGCCTTGCAGAGTCTAGGAAATGGGGCCCCCACACAAAAGGTTTCCAATTAGGAGATCAAACAAGGCCAGAGAGAAAACATCTGGTTAATTGACCCCACCCTGCAGTCTGTCTGTGGCACTCCCCAGGCCTGGGTCCAGTTCCAGTCTGCCACAGCGCCCTCCCCCTGACAGTCTCAGCACCCCGCACACATGCTGACGGCCAGGGCCCAGCTAAGGCAGCAATCAGGCCCTTTAGGGATGAAGAGGAAATGGAGATCAGAGCAATTCTGGATACTGAGCTGGAGGTATTACCCCTCTGCCCAACCAAGTCCTGCAGCACATCAAGGGAGTGTTCCTGATCAGATCCTTCCCCAATAGATTTTGTGCCGGCTCTATACAGGCAGGGTGAGGGTTAAGGGACTTTGTCAATAGGCTCCCCCCAATACACTTCACTTCTTCAGATGCAAGTCTCATCTGAAGAAGTGAGGTTCTTACCCACGAAAGCTTATGCTCCCAATACTTCTGTTAGTCTTAAAGGTGCCACAGGACCCTCTGTTGCTTTTTACAGATTCAGACTAACACGGCTACCCCTCTGATACTTGACCCCAATACAAGGTTAACCATGGCAGTGGTTTGCTTCCCATTGCTCCTATGTGCTGGGAGTTTATTTTGGCCTCTCTTCCCCAAGACTCTGGGAAAAATGAATCACCCCAGCCCCTTATATTGCCCAGTTTCAGTAAATTGGTGACTTGGATTGGGCAACGTAAGAGCCGACCCAAATGGAACCTTTGTTCAGTTTCACCCTGGAGTCAGGTCCCTTCTCTCATCCATTCCAGACCCACCCACCTCTCCACTTGGATTCCTTCCCACCCATAACAATGGGGAGCTGTAGCAGATCTCAGTGTCTCCCTGCTGGAGCTTGGGTGTAACAGTCACTAAAAATCTGCCACTGCTTCCCCATTAGTTTGGCCCAAAATGTACAGTGAGCCCATGAGCACAAGCTTCTTAGATCGAGGGAGTTCCTGTCAGATGTGGCAATACTGCCCCAGGAAGTGCCACCACCCTGGCACACAGTCACTCCCCACTGGCCTCTGCAAGGGACTTTACCCTAAAAACTGTTGGCGACAGAGCAAGCTGTGGTGGAATCAACAGCACTGGCAATAATCCAGGCTGAGACCAGCTGTCTGGGATGGTGTACAGATAATGAAATCAGTCCTATCATGGTGCAGAGGAAGGAGTTTGGGGGCCCTTCTGGTCCCTACCGCACGGCAGATGGACAGGTCGTCCCCAATCAGGTCGTCCCCTGGCCCCTCAAGTGATTCTACGCTTGCATAATCCAGCCACATTACTTTTTTGCTCCTGCCCAAAGTGTCCGTGTCCAGCCAGTGACAGAGACTTGTGCTCCTACCTGTATGTTTGGGTTCTGGGCACTCAGGTCAACGTTGGCCAACCCTGGCAGGTTCTGTAAGTCCAGCACGAAGGGTGTGCTCTCCTCCTTGCTAGCGCCGCCAGGCCAGAGTGGCACTGGCTGGTTCCTCACAGCCCGTTGGGACGACCATCGGCGTTTGTGCCGGCGAGGCCCAGCCTGCCCGCTTCGCCTCAGGCTCCGAACCTTGTTGGACTGTGGCATCTCCTCTTCCTGAGTCAAACGGGTGTCAGATGAAGTGGAGACCTGGCAATGAAAGAGGCAGCCATGGCAGTTCCAACCCCACCCTGACCATCTCCACAGCTACCATTCAGGACTCCCTCCACTACATCCTCACACCAGGGACAGGGCAGGAGAGCAGGCACTATGGAGGTGAGCAGCTGCCTGCAAATGCTCAGGAACGGGTCCCTGAAACACGCCTACTAAGAACAAACGCAAGGTTTATTGACCCACCATCTCCCTATTCCTGCAAGTGTGGTCTGAGACAGCAAACAGGCCATACAAGCAAAGAGCATATTGACTGCAACACTAGATCTGGCCATCGACTTATCTATTCCACTATCCTCACCCCCCCTACAGCACCCAAGCGGAGCAATTGCCCATCTAGTCCAATATCCCTGCCACTCTGGAGCAGAGCAATGGCTCTATTACGTCTGGCATTTCCCTGCTTTCTGCCACATCAGAAACCAGTCCAGTATTTGCACCTCTCTGCTATAACACTGTCCCATCTAATCTGGCATTTTGATTTCCCTGCCCATACCAGACCAGTCTGCTAGTCCACCTTGTTTGGGATCTTCACTTCTGACAATGTCCGAGACCAAATTATTTGGAGGAAGGACAAAAATCTATAATGCACCTGCCCAGCTGTTCAATATTTTACATGGAGGAAAAATTCCAAAACGCCCCCCACCGTGATCAGCCCCTGCAAACTATCAATTGTCACCCTGAGGCACAAGATTTGATAACTTCTAGCTGGAAAATGATAAATGCAAAGATTATTAATGGTCACAAAGTCACCCAGCCCGACACTCATATGTGGTGAATTAATCTGAGGTGGAACTTTCCCAAGATAACCCAGCCACGTAAAAACTATTTATTAGTATCAGAGAAAACAACTTATTTGAAGTTAGTCCAGTAAAAGATATTACTTCACCCGCTTTGTCTCTAGGAACCTCTTGAATGAATCGTCTACTAAAGGTCAATAGGAATAGAAACTGCTAAAGATGAATGGCTGCATTTTACATTGTAGGAAACACATAATGGCTGGTTAAAGCCCCCTTGTATAACAGACTATGAAGCAACATAATTTATTTGTAAATGGTACCCGTGACTCAAGCTGTGTGTTAGCTGACCTGCTCTCACTCTGCTGACATTTTTATCCATTCTGAGGCACATTGTGCTCACCTCTGCATTCCCACTCTGGTCTGGGAGCTGCAGCAAGAAACAGTCTCGTGCTGATGCCATCTTCCAGGAAGCCTGATTCTCAAGAGGCTTCCAGACCAGGATGGGTTAAGGGTGGATTTGGAAAGAAGCAGGATTAACTCCTCCAAATGAAATCACTTGAACCAGGTCCCCACGTCACTAACCTCTGCGCTCGACACACACTGGGATTAAAGGGTGCAAGTCAAAGGGGCTGCAAGCTTCAGTGCATCAGAGAAATTGGAGATGGGAACAACCTGTCAAGCTCTCTACACCCCAGTCCTCGCTCAACCAATGCAGGCTTCCCTACAGAAGGTTCTTCAGTGGTCTAGGATTTAACTTTCCAACCTATGTGCCTTCCACCCTGCCTGATTCCCCAGCTTAGTGCATCTCGCAGGTAGCAGGTATTTCCTGATGCCCAGCCTAAATCCGCCTTTGTTCCTAGCTCTCTTCCCTGGCACCACCAAACCCTCCTTCCCCTTCATGAGCCCAGACTGTAGCTGCAGGATTAACAAAGAGAGAGAAGCTCCCCTCCCCACCAGGGAGACAGAACAGCACTTTTACCTGCAATTAGGGCCAGATGGTTTGGGGAGGGACTCCCCCTCCCTTTCATCCTGATCACTGGAGCACTTCAAAGAGAGCTGGAGCAGGGCCAGGCTCACATGAGCACACATACAGCATGTCAGCCAGGCCTGTTCCTGCACATCAAAGGCCTGGTGCCTGTCTCCCCCACCCCCAGAGAAAGGAAGGAGCAGCGGGGACACTGCTGGTCCCTTTGCTGTTTATCAGAGTGGAGCTGGCTGTGGCAGAGACTGCAACAGCTTTGTCCAGATGGGCCCCTGCGTACAGGTTGGAGGGGGGGTTCTGGGTGAATATTCCATGTGCAGGGAGAGTCGCTGCTCTGTCCTGGAGGAATGATCAGGGAGGATGGAGATTATGCCCAGAGCTTTGTTTGAATTGATCTAGCTCTGATGCCACTGCCCTAGACAAGCAATGGCTCCAATCTAAGACATCCATGGCCCCAGGGTTTTGTCTGGGGTCTGTCCGTCCCTCTGATTTGACATCCCGTTGTGGGAAAGGGGAGACAAAGGCAGGATAGGAGTTTTTTATATTCGCCAAGTAGATGTGGCAACTCAATTAACTCTCCCACGTCAGCTAGGGCTGTGCAGCAGCAGGGCATGGTGGGTCCTACTGCCAAGGATTATGGGGACATTTTAATGGGTTCTGGTCAGGGTGAGGTTAACATTCTGAGGTTTGGGTTCAAACCACAAAGAACATTCAGTTCCAACCACTCTTGAGAACCTCAAAGCCCAGCCCATGGATTGCCTCTCTCCTCCAACTCCCAGCCCCAGACAGCTTTCACCCACAAAACCATGGCCCCTGGAATGCTGCTACCCCCAGCCCCTACCAAATGCAACAAGCCAGCCCCTGGATCGCCACCACCACCACCCACTCCACAGTGGGCCAGGGCCAGGAGTTAGTTGAGAGCAGGCACCACAAAGAGGTGCTGTATAGATTTCACAAGATTCACCACACACCCGTGAGCTGAAACAGCTCAGAGGAAAGGCCAAGTCCAACCAGACATGAAGTGCAGTTAGTATTTCCAAGGTTTCTCCCCAGTGCGGCTTGCTCTGGAATTCAAGCCCTTCTGTTTCTGGATCCTGACTTGCGTCACGCTAAGCCATTTCGACCCTGGGATTCCCTACTAGGTGGCTCAAGACATTGGGAATAAGTCACTACTAATCCACCGCAGCATCTGAGTGCTTTTCACTCCTTCACCCTCTGAGGGCTATTTGCTACCTGCAATATCTCAGTCCAGCTCTGAGTGAGAAAAGCATCCACATCATGAAGGTCAGCATCACAGTTAGCCCTTCTCAACAGAAAGGCTGAGGATGAATAGGCCACAGGTTGAAGCACCCACAGAGGGTAATGTGACGGAAAATGAACCTGTTCTGTGGATAAAGAGACTCTTGTTGCTAGGTCTGTCAATAGGACATCTTTTACAAGCACTACATTTTCACCAAACTGTACATTAAACCTTGTATTACAGTAACATACAGCACTGCAAGAAAATCACGTCAATAAAACACTGGTGACACATAGCCCTTTTATAGGGCTTTTCAACTGTAGGCCTCAAAGTGCTTAACAAAGGCAAGTAGGCATCATCATCCCCACTTTACACATGTGGAAACTGAGGCACAATGCAGGGAAGTGTCCGTCACACAAGAAGTCACAGTGATGGAGGCTGGAGAAGATGCAGCTCTCCTGACTCCCACTCTACTGCCCTATCACTGGCCAATACTGCCTGGTTCAGATTTTACACCCTCACCAACTCAGGAAATTCAGATTCTGGTTCCCACAGGGGTAACATAATCCTGCTGAAGGAGACCTGGAAAGAGCTGATAGGCTGAGAGACTGCCAGATTTAAGAAATCCCTCACCCATTTACCAAGCATAAAGTCCTCTGGAATCACTAGTTCCCTTTGCTATTCTACCAGCATCCCCTGCCTCAATTCCAAGCCACAACACACACCCGGCGTCCCCACTGTCCCTATCTTGCACACAGTGGCCACTGAGCTCCTGGCAATACCAATGTGCCCAGACCCTAATATTTTAAGGACTGAAATAGGCCCTCAGACATAATTTTTTAATTTGCCAGTCACTTATTAATATTCATCAAATTGCCCAGCACCATCTCCCCAACAACTCAGTGATCTTCTCAAACAGTCAGGGGATGAGTGGGTGTCTCTCTGAAATCAAAAAAGGTTTGTATATATCAGAAGCAATCCCTACTGGCCAAGTTTCAGCACAATATCCCACGCAAAGGCAGAGGCAACACGTAACTGTTGATAATGGGGGTGGGGGGCATGATTTTGAACTCTGTGAGCTGGGTGAATGTCAGTATGAAAATATGCATCTTTCATGTCAAAAGCCAAGTCCTCTAATGAGGGAACTATTGATGCCAAGGATATCATGTGGAATTTTAGCTTTCAAATGAACTAGTTGAACTGTCGCAGATCAAGAATTGGTCTCCATCCCCCATTCTTCTTGGGGATCAGGAAGTAGAATCCCTTCCCTTGATATTGAGGTGGAAACCTTTCTATGGCTCCCCTGAGGAGAAGAGAGTTCACCTCTTGTCGTAGAATCTCGTGAGAGTGGTCCCTTAAAAGGAACTGAGAAGGGTGTTTGTGAATAGGAGATACCAGAAACACCATCAGATAACCCCATCATGAATAATCTCTAATACCCATTTATCTGTAGGTAAGGCCCTCCAGTTTTTCTGCAAATTTCATAATGTGGCCTCCAAATATTAGGGGAGAGGAATAAAATGGCATCAGTAAGGGGATGTGGATCTCAGCAGTCCTGCTCACGTATTCTCTTAGGGGCAGGACTGTAAAAGCCCAGTGAGCGAAGCATTGACCTTTAGTCTTTAAGGGAGTGGAGAGACTCCACCATCTTCTCATAAAAGAGGCTGGTAATATCAAAGGGCAGATTTGGGATGGTACTCCACAACTCTCTAGGGAAACCTGAGAATTGCAACCATGAGTTCCTCCTCATAACTATGGCTGTAGCCATCCTCCTAGAAGCAGAATCTGCTACTTCCAGTGTGGCTTGGGGGGGAATTTTGGCCACCAGCCCTCTTTCATCCACTAAGCCCTGGAAGCAGGCCCTATCATCCTTAGGGAGCTTGTCCTTGGATTCCAAACACTTATTATAGTTGGTAAAATCATATTTGGCCAAAAGGACCTGGAAATTTGAGATCCTGAACAGGAGGGAGGTGGAAGAGAAGACCTTTCTTCCTAGTAAGTTGAGTCACTTATGTCCCTT